CTGCAGGACATTTGAAAAAGAAATAGAGGAAGATATAAAAAAGTGGAAGCACACACCTTGTTCATCGATTGGAAGAATTAACATCATTAAAATGTCCATATTACCCACAGCAGTCTATAGATTCAATGCAATCCACATCAGAATACCAACGACATACTTCACAGAACTAGAACAAACAGTCCAAAAGTTTATATGGAACCAAAAAAGACCCTGAATAGCCACAGCAATCTTGAAAAAGTGGGACAAAGTAGGTGGGATCAGAGTACCTGATATCAGATTATACTACAAAGCTACTGTAATCAGAACAGCCTGGTACTGGCACAGGAACAGGCATATAGACGAATGGAATAGAACAGATAACCCAGAAATGAACCCAAGACATTATGCTCAATTAATATTTGATAAAGGAGGCTAGAGCATACAATGGAGTAAAGGCAGCCTCTTCAGTAAAAAAAATGAAGCTATACCACCAACTTACACTATACATGAGAATAAACTCAAAATGGATAAAATTCTTAAATGTGACCCCTGAATCCATAAAAATCCTAGAAGAAAATGTAATCAACAAAATATCAGACATCATACGCAGCAGATTTTTCACTGATACAACACCTAAGGCAACAGAAACAAATGAACATAGGGGACTACACCAACTAAAAATCTTCTGCACTGCAAAAGAAAATACCACCAAAATGGAAAGCAACCCACTGTATGGGAGAGCATAATTACCGATGATATATCAGATAAGGGATTAATTTCCAAAATATATAGAGTACTCCTACAACTCAACAAAAGGATAATAAAGAACCCAATTAAATAATGGGCAGAGGACCTAAATAGACACCTCTGCAAACATGACATACAAATGGCCAAGAGACATAGGAAGAAATGCTCAACATCACTAATCATCAGAGAGATACAATTTAAAACAACAATGAGGTATCACCTCACACCTGTCAGAATGGCCACCATCAACAAATCATCATATAACAAATGTTGGTGAGGGTGTGGAGAAAAAGGGACCCTACTACACTGCTGGTGGCAATGCAGACTGGTGCAGCCACCAAAGAAAACAATATAGTGTTACTTCAAAAAATTGAACATTGAATTGCCATTGATCCAGTGATCCCACTTGTAGGATTATACCCTAAGAAACCTGAAAAACCAATCAGAAAGAATATATGTACCCCCATTTTTATTGCAACACCATTTACAATAGGTAAGATCTGGAAATAGCCCAAGTGTCCATCAATAGATGAATGGATAAGAAAGCTGTGGTACATATACACAATGGAGTAGTATTCAGCTGTAAGAAAGAAAGATCTGTTATCCTTTGAGACGACATGGAGGGACCTGGAAAGTATTATCTTAAGCAAAACAAGCCAAGCAGAGAAAGACAAATGTCACATGATCTCACTTATTTGTGGAATATAATTAACATACAGAGTAAGGAATTGGGTAGTCCCAGAGACATGGAAGTAGGGTACAGACTGTAAATCCTCAGAAGAGGGGTTGATGGGGAGAAGGAATAGATAAACCAGAGAACTTATATCCATGTATGCATAACCAATGGCAAGGACAACAAAACCGGTTATGAGGTGGCGGGGATGGGGAGGAGGGTGTCAATGGGGAAAAAAAAGAGAAACATCTGTAACGAAAATAAATTAATGAAAAATTATTTTTAAAAATGGCAGAGGAACTAAATAGACACCTCTCCAAACAGGACATACAAATGACTAAGAGACATAAGAAGAAATGCTCAACATCACTAATCTTCACAGAGATGCAAATTAAAACAACAATGAAGTATATCACCTCACACCTGTCAGAATGACCACCCTGAACAAATCACCAAACAACAAATGTTGGCGAGGGTGTGGAGAAAAGGGGACTCTAGTACACTGCTGGTGGGAATGCAGACTGGTGCAGCCACTATGGAAACACTATGGTATCACCTCAAAAAAGTCAAAACTTGAATTGCCATTTGACCCAGTGATCCCACTTCTGGAAATATACCCTACAAAGCCTGAAACACCAATTGGAAATAATATATGTACCCTCATGTTTATAGCAGCACTATTTACAGTCACTAACATCTGGAAACAGCCCTAGTGTTTGTCAGTGGACGAATGGATATACAAGCTGTGGTACATATACACAATAGAGTACTATACAGCTGTAAGAAGAAAAGATCTCTTATCCTTTGAGACGACCTGGAGGGGCCTGGAAAATATTATCCTAAACGAAACAAGCCAAGTAGTGAAAAACAAATATCACATGATCTCACTTATTTGTGGAATATAATGAACACAACATTCTGAGTAACAGTGTTACTCAGGCCCAGAGACGTGGAAGTAAGGTACAGACTGACAACCCTCAGAAGAGGAGGAGCGGGGGAGGGAAGAGATAAACCACAGAACTTATATGCATGTACGCATAACCAATGGCCATGGACAACAAAGCTGGGGACAGGGTGGGGGAGATGAGGAGGAGGGTGTCAATGGGGGAAAAAAGGAGAAACATCTGTAAGAAAAATAAATTAATAAAAAATAATAAAAAAGAAAAGAAATGAAAGAAAAAGAGAAAAAAAGAAATAAAGCCAGTGAGTATGAAAGGAATACAAAGACACAAATATGGGATCAATCAAACAATTTGAAATGCTCAGGTTGTCTCATAAAGTTGTGAGCTCTTTATCCCTGTCAGTGCTGCTGTAAATGCAATTCTATAATGGATTCTGGATTGGACCACACCACCTAGACAATCTTTAGCTCTGAGAAGTTGGGGCCAAAGGTGTGTGACCTAAGGATCAGGAGAAATTTATAATTATTTTTAGAACTGGGGAGAGTATCTTTGGCCCTTGTCCCTGGAGTCTCAGGAACAAATTATCTGAAAGGCCCATTCCACCCTAATTGATATTCTATTTCTCAGAAATTACCTAATGCTGGGCTGTTGATTAGAGGCTAGCCAGGGGTAAAGGGACTGATTCCCATGGCAACCAGGTTGAAAACACATACCATGTGAAGCACTGTCAGCAACATGCTATTTTGGATTATAAACAGATATTTAATTCATTGAGATAGCTCTGACAGTGAGTAGGTAAGTTAAATCCCAAAACCACTCTTTGTCTTTGAGAGTTTCATAGTTAATTGACAACTGTTTTTTCCCCTTCTAAGACATGTAGAACTTGGTTTTCTAAGTGAAAGAATAGTATATGTGTTTTTTAAAAAACTAACAGTCCAATGTCATGATATTTCTCACTATTTGATTCTCTCTGAAAGGTTTCTAAAATTTTTCTGATTGTGTATCTTTACTTGAATCTTTTTGACACAAGAGACTCCAGGTTTAATGTCTGAATTTCATGAGAATCTTTTTCTATAATTTTTGCCTCATATTCTTCCTGGTTTTCTAACTCAGAGGCTACTCTAAATTTCAGCCCTTGGTCCTCTGCTCTTTTCTTCCCTTTTCTCTTTTCCTTGATTAACAGCCAAAATAATCAAGTGACTACTTAATAACTTCTACAGCCCTGCCACTACCCTTGACAATACATTTTGGAATACCTAATGATTGGAAAACAAAATCAGGTCTGGTCAAAGAACATTTATCCTAAAACCAAGGACCAAGGACAGGTCTCCCTCCAATGTTTAATTGAGGGTTAGGAATGGATAGTTTGAAGGTAGAGAATGGGTTCAACAGAAATCGACGATCAGGTTTTGCTAAATTCAAATATAAAAGCACTTTTGAAATGCAAATTTTAGATATCCTATGAGAAATTAGTATAAGCGACTAACAGAACCTCATCAAATGGAAATCAGAGTAAGATTTTGTACTCTACACTCGAAAGAGCTTAATATAAATTAGTCTGTAGTACTCAGAGTGTTTCATTCTATAAGGATTAAAAGAAGCAGTATGCATTTATTTCCATTAAGTTGCTGGGTAAATAAGCTTCCTAATGTAAGAATATAGGGTGTTGATTTCTAAAATTTGTTGTAACCAGGAATAAATAACTCAATGTGTACATTGCTTTATCAAACAGTGTTAGCTTAGAATTAAACAGTATTGGGAGGTGAGGAATTTTAGGGTCAGATTTGAAGATGTCATGACCTCTTCTGGGACCCTTACTTTAATACTTCTGAGATTTCATACAGGTTCAAGGAATTAGGTAAATTCCTTTCATCAATGAAAATCCCTAATGTGTACTGAATTCCCACCCAGGGGGCAAGTGACATACTGATCTTGGGAGAAAGATCAGGGGCTTAGTATGTGAGCCAGCCTCCATTTAAAGTCCTGGGAGGGGACACTAGTAGGTCTTCTCCTCCAAACTAACCACCTCAACTGCTTCCTCTCTCCCTGGTATATCACCACCAGAGGCTCATTTCTTTGGGGGAAACAAGGATTTCTTTAGGGAGGGGCAAGTATTCAGCTTTATAAGTTTTGCACACTTAAGCATGAATTAATGGCACGGGCCAGTGTTGCTCAGTTGTTAGAGCATTGGCTCATGCACTGAAGGATCATGGGTTTGATTCCCAGTCAAGGGCATCTACCTGGGTTGCAGGTTTAATCCCTGGCCTCTGTCAGGGCATGAGTGGTAAGCAATCAATCGATGTGTTTTTCTCATATCAATCTCTCTGTTTCCCCCTTCCCTCCCTTCCTTTCAGTCTCTCTAAAAACTCAATGGAAAAAATATCCGTGAGTGAAGATTAACAACAACAACAAAATTAATGAATTAATGTACACTCTGTGATTGTGATGTAGGGCCTACAAAGCACACTTTGGCAATTTCAAGGTTCTACTGTAGGCTAATCCTAGTATTTGTGAACTACAGACCTAGAAGTAACACGATGAAAATTATTTAACTTCAGTGTTTGCCCTCCTCAGGCTCAACTTGGAGAGAACTTTTGCCATCAACTTATTTATTCATCCATTCATTCAATAATGAAATGGAATTACAATAGGACATTCTAATCAGGGATCATGTCTCAAATCAAACTGGTGATCAGTCAGATTTGCAGATCTCTGAGGATAAAAGAGGGAGGAGGGGAATGCTTTTGTTAAGGAGGAGATTATTATATTGGGACTGGCAGGTCCACTGAGGGTCCCTGAGAGATTGAGGATGAAGAGTTGGAGTTGGTGGCCAGTTGTCCTTCTTGGTTACACTCTTCAAGGGCTATGGTCTGGTCCCTTCCATCTGTCTTTGAGTCTCTGTATAAAGAAAAAAGATGGCTAAATGTGTTTCCAGAACCATCAACCTGAAAACAGTTGCATTGTGGGGCTCAGATGCTGGAGGCACATTCAGAGCATTGTTTTTCCAGCAGTCTTGGGTTCACAGAAGGAGGTTGACATAAGGTATTTACCTGGTTCGAAGTTGGGGCCATTTCCTCCACTCTATGGCTAGCACCACCCCTAAAGCTACAACCACCACTACAATCAGGCTACTTCGGACAATGTTCCCCACAGTGCACTCCTGAGCAGCAAGCCCTGTGATGATAAAAGAGAAGAAACAAAGGCCATAGAGATTAAAGCATATATGTCCCAATTGATCTCTCATTGCCTTTTCATCTGGCCTCCTCCAAGCTTTATTTGGGAGCCATGTGTTAAAACTGTAGAGAGGGTGATCAGAGGAAGTGCTTATGCTGAGGCAGAAGCAGCCTTCATTTTGGGGAGGGTGGAAGAGGCCTTGAAAATATCTGGCTATCTGTCTTTGAGTGAATCTGAGGTCCCACCTCCTCACCATCCTTAGAGAAATATCACCACATTGCTCTCTGACTCCAAATCCCCCTCCATATTTGGGTTGTCTCCATGGGGATTGTTTCTGGGATCTCAGGTGTGTTATGCCAGGACCATGGAGGGATTATTTATTCACCTGCTGTACCCACGAGCTCCAGAGGATCACTAGGGTCTGACCAGATATCAGGGTGGGCCTGGAGGCGGTAGCTGCAGCTATAGTTTCCAGTGCCTTTTCCTTCTATGTTGTTAATGACAAAGTCTCCATCCTCTGAGAACTGCTGAGGTGCTTCTTCTCCATCACGTTCCAGGACAAATTCAACACCTGGCATGGGTCCTCGGCACTGAAGGGTGATGTCTTTCCCTAGCTTGAACACAGTGCTGGGCCAGGCTGACAGGGAGGGTTTAGGGGGTTTATCTGTAACCAACCAGAACACAGAGTTAGGAGGAGTGGCCCTGAACCCAACCCTTTACCCCCTTAGGGCAAATTACTAAAAACACTATAAAATCTAGACTCTTACTGAAGGCTCCAGGACCTTACCAGTCACCCAGATGTGCAGGGAGTCACTGTGATTGGAAGCTGCAAGGGGAGCAGAATCTAAATAATAAACACAGCTATAGATCCCAGAATCTCCACCTCTCACTGCTGGCATCCAGAAGTCAGCCCTGTAGCCACTTGGCCGCTGTTTCTCTAAGGGTTCTTGAGAACCATCCTTCAACAGGACAAATGTTGAGTCTGGCAGTTGCCCTTGACATTGAAGAGTCATATTTTCTCCGGGGGCCACCATAGGACTAGGCTGGGCTAATAGGCTGGGTTTGGGAAGCAAACCTAGAAAAAATTAACTCCTGGTCAAAGAGAAGAGGTCACTTGCCCTTGGAGACTATTGCTTGCCTCTCCTTAAACTCTTTGGAAACCATCTGAACTATGTCCCAGTCTATTTCCTCCTTTCTACATCCTACCCTCACTCCAGAAAATCTTCCCCTTACCTGTGACTATGAGTTCCAGGGTGTTGCTAGGTTGTATCTTGACAGGGCTGGTCCAGTCAGGGTGGTAGCAGCAGGTGTAACGTCCTATGTTAGCACCAGATATATTGGTGATGGGGAATGCCCCGTCATTACTGGTGGATCCCCAGAGCTGCATTGAAGTGTCTTCTTTTTCTTTGTGTAGAATGTACCCTACTGCATGAACTGGCCCTTGGCACCAGAGAGTAACATTCTGCCCCATGGGAACCACAGAACTGGGCTCAGCAAACAGCCATGGCTTGGGGAAAGTGTCTAGGAAGAGACCAAATATGTAAAGTGGTGAGTGTGGAAATTTAGCACTTGTTGAATTAACCCTTTATCTTTCTCTTTCTGGCCACAGTAGTTTCCCTCCATGGTCCAACCTAGCCTTCTAAGAGGGATTACCCTCCCTAATCCCTACAGCCTTTGTCTCTGTCCCAGTTCCATGTTTTGCCTGTCCTTACCAGTTACCCAGATCATAATAGGCTTGCTGAGATGTGATCCCCTGTTTGACATGGTTGTCTCATAGTAAACACAGCTGTAGTTCCCAGAGTCCTCTGCTCCAACAGTGTGTAGGAGGAAGTCAGTTGAGTTCCCTGAGGTACTCTGTAACTGTAAAGGGACCTGGGTTCCCTCATGCACGAGGGCAAACCTCATGCCCTGGAAAGCTCCTTGGCACTGCAGGATCACATTCTTCCCAGGAAGCACCACAGGACCTGGTTTTGCCATGAGAGTGGGTCTGGGGTAGAATTCTGAAATTAAAGAGACCACAACATGAGAGAAGCCTGCCCCCCACATTATGTAAATTGCTTTTTGACTGTTATTATAAGAAACAATATGTTTATTATAGAAAATACAGCAAAAAATCTAATGAAGACAATATAATTCTACCACTCAACAATAACCATTCTTTATACATGTTTATATATTTCCTTTCCATTAATTTTTTCTATATATGCCCATGTCATCGTAGCTATAACTATTTGCACAATTAGGATCCTACCATATGCATGGCTGTGTGCACGGTTGTATAATTTAATATTTTTCACTTAACTTTATATTGTAAATATTTTCTTATGACTTTACACAGCCTTTGAGAACTGCCATTTCTAGTGGCTATATAATATGCAGCTGACATTTCAAGGTCTTTGTCCTTTCTATGAGGGCCATCCAGCCCACCAATCTTTGACAGCCCAGCTAATGAAATAGTGAATGTTGGGACTGAAGTTCAAGGCCAAGCAACAAAATTATTTCAGAAATAGGGCAACATGAACTTGGCTCTAGGGATTTGACACCCCCATCTACCTCACTTCTTTCCCCAGAAATTAATTACTTGCCTCCTCCCTCTTCTTTGTCTCTTAATCATGTATTGATAATAATATCAACAGCTGCCTTATATGGACTGTTTACCATATGCCAGTCACTGTTCTAAGCACTTTCTTGGTGACTTTTAGAAGGAGCATTTAGTCTTTCCACCCACTGTCCCAGGGTCAGTAACACCCTCCATTTTCATTTCCCCACTCCTGACCTGTCACCACGAGCTCCACAGTGTTGCTGGGCTCAGACCAGATAGCAAAATCATAATAGCGGCAGCTGTAATTCCCTCCATCACCGATGCCCACCGATATGATCAGAAACTGAGCTGTACTGGACCCTGGGCTTGCCCAAGACCTGTCACTGGACGCTATTTCACTTCCATCTTTGTAAAGAATAAAACTCATGTGCTTGTGGGGGGTGGAGCAATTGAAAGTCACTCGGGCACCAGGAGTGACCACTGGGCTGGCCCAAGTGTTGAAGAAGGGCTTTGGGTACATTTCTAAAAGATAAAAAATAAATAAATAAATAAATAAATAAATAAATAAATAAATAACAACACAAACCAACTTAAGGAGAAAAGAAAAAGAAAAAAAAAAGAAAAAGAAAGATAGCTCATATAGTTAGTATTGGTTCCAAGAAGCTGCTTTACCTTTTGTAGTATTTCACTCATAAGTAGGTGCATTTAAAAATGAAGGTAAATTCACTTTGCAGATGGACTTCTCACAGGGACACCTTACCCTCACCCCTCACCTGCAGCTGAATCCTCCCTGTCATCAGGGCAGACAATAGAGGCTAGCTAAAATAGTGAATTTTCATTAGGGCTCTTCTGGTTCCCTGAACCTTAGTTTACCCACTTGTACAAGAAGGGAAAATAGTACCTGCTGTACAAGGTACCATTCTCCCTTCTTGTCCAAATATCCCTTAAATATTTGCTCTATAGCTAAGTAAAATAAATGATATAAAAATAATTAGAAAAATGAAATCACCCTCCACAAACCCCAGCTATTAATATTGATTACTGCTATTAATATTGTGCAGCCAGAGGCCCTGGGACTCTCAGAGCCACGCCTGCCTGGCTCTAAGATTGGACACAGGCTCCTAGGACCAGCAACAAAGTTTTCTGTGAGGAGAGGAGTGTCTGACCCAGAGTTTTGCCTTCCCCCTCTTCCCTCACACATCCTTTACAAATCTACCTTTTATAATAAGCTCCAGGGATTCACTGGGCTCAGACCACTTGAAGGGGTGTGTTTCAGTGTGAGTGCGGCAACTATAATTGCCTTCCTCTTTATCCTCCATTCTTTGGATTGTAAAGAAGGCTTCTCTCCCAACTGCACCAAGTTGCTGGACAGGTTCCTGCAATCCCTCCTTATACAGAGCAAACGCCATGCCTGCCAGCCATCCTTTGCACCGGATTTGCAGTTCCTGGCCCCGGATTGGGGGGGATGCAGAAATGACAGGTTTGGGGAGGATGTCTAGAAAACAAAAAGGGGTGGAAAAGGAGTCCAAAGTTTAAAGGTGCTCAGATGAGACATTTGGAGTCACTTTGTCAGTGAAAAAACAATTCCATTTTGGACTGGTCTTTGACTCCTGCTGTCAGTTTCCTCTCACTGTCTTACCCACCCTCTCCCTGATTTCAGTGTCCCTCCTTTCCATTGTGAAGCACAAACCCCTTGGCTCTTAGTCTTTTTTCATTTCCCCATACTCAGCAACAGTGTTGGAGTCCCAGGGGTTCTAGGGATTACTCCAGAAAGGCCCCTTGAACATTTCTTACCTGTCCCTACCAGCTCAAGTGCCTCACTGGGCTCCGACACAGCCATCTCCTCCCATGAATGGCAGTGGTAACTCCCGGTGTGACTCTTGGTCAGGGTGCCAAGGGGGAAAGCAGCCCGGACCTGCTTTGAGGCCGGGTGAGTTGCAATCCATCCAGTCCCATCCTTCAGCAGCACGAACTCCTTAGTTGAGTCAGATGGGCTTCTGCACCAGAGGGTTAAGTTCTTCCATGGGGCCAGAGGGAAGTTGGTCTCTGCCCATAGCTCAGGCTTAGGGGTTGGCATGGTTATTTCTAGAAACAGCAGAGTTAATGAAGCCATCCTCCCTCCTTTTCTCCCTTTCCTTGCCCTTGAACCCTTTACCCAGATCACACTGCCCACCTCTTTTTCAACTCAAATCCAAACTCTTTTCTTCTTTCCGAAGATGCAGGGAAAAGGAGAAGTGGATGTCTCAGATGAGACTCAGAAAAGTGCAGAAGCTTGGGGGAAATTTTTCAGGCACAAAAGCAGAGTTGGAGGCTGAATTTTGCCAGCAACTTGAGCGACTGCTCCTTCCTGGCTGTCCTTCCCTTCCAATCAGTCACTCCCTGGCCACTGATACTGACACTATGTAGTTATTTCGGATCTCTAGGGAGGAATGTCCCAGTCTGGAGCAGAAAAAACTCACCAGTCTCTTCTGTCAATACCCCATTGCACAGTCCTGCAAAAGAAATTGCTGCCAAGACTCTGCACCCTCCCCCATGGGACTTTACCCTTACCTTCTGCTCAGGCCTCCACCCCACCCACCCCTTTATACTCACCACAGCAGAGAAGGGCTGTGATTATGAACAGCATGGTGACCACTTGAGTTGTTTCCAGCAACCAGGCTTCTCTAGTGAGACCAGAAAAGAGATGAGAAGAGCTACTGGGATTAGGGGAGGGTGGAGAGAAGGGGGCGGCAATTTATGTCATTGGTTTACTCACCACCCAATAGGGATTGGATATGGCCAGGATAATGGGAAATAATCTTTTCTGACATGGATGGCTTTTCTTTTTGAAGGCCTCATCACCTACAAAGCTCTTGCTCTTTCATGACCCACATGCCCCCCCCCATCCTCCCCCTTCCAGGCCTATATCAGATGTCAGCTCCCCATGGCTCCTGATTAGGCTGTTGCTGAAATTGAGATGTCAGATGTGAAAATGCTTTTGTAACTCTAGCTCTCAGAACCCCTGGAACTCAGTGTGGGTCAGAAGTTCTGGGTGGTGGGTGTGGGGATGAAGGAAGAAATCTTGGGTGTTTTCCCTTTATCATGGTTAAGTTTGGAAGCAGTTTTTATTATGATAGTATTGGTCCTCAGACCAACCTGCCTCACCTGCCTTTGTTATGGAAGGGTTGCCTAGGCAGCTGCAGTAAATTACCAGAAGATTGTCAGTGCTGAGCTAAGCTTGTCAGAGTGGGTTCTCTCTACCTCCCCCTCCCCCAGATTATGACTAGAAATATGCAGCAGCTTTGGGTTATTGGTCCTGTAAAATTAGATATTAATCCAAAATCCATTTGAAAAATTTTACTTAGAAAATACTAACTCTCCTTCCTGGTCAGGAAAACCTGTTTTTTTTTTCTGAAATCTGCTTTCTAAACTCATTCTTTGATACTGTGGTCCTAGGCAGAAGTGGGGCACTTGAAGCTACATTTTCTCAAGCCCCTTGCTTGGACGTTACCCTAACATATATAGGACTCAAGATAGATTTTGAGGATAATGGGAACTTGTCCCCTACTGAAACTTTGAAAACTCAAAGGGTGATGGATTTTGCAGAAGGCTTAGGTGGCTCCCTTCTTGTTATGAAAGCACACTATCCCTCAGACTCCACTGGGGAACACAGACACACACACGCACTCATAGTTATTATCCATTGTGTATTGAATACTCCCAGACAAACAAAGACCTATAATCATGGTGGAGGGTACAACCAGTAGTAGAGGGTAGGGAGACATAGGCAAGGCACTCAGGAGCTGAGGCTCCCACTAGGCCAAGAGCTATCATTTCTCTTCGCATTTTTAAACAGAATAGCCTGAGCACAGGCCATGGGGATAGAGAGAAAGATCAAAGGAAATAGCAGGAGAACCTGTTTGGTTTGCCATTTTATGGATCATAGGAAGCTGTCTGATTTACTAGCCCAATCTATTGCCTCACTGGATGCTCATCCAAGTTAAGATTATATTCTCAGAATGCTCTGAACAAGAGGCCAGAGTGGCAGAGAGACTGGTTTATATGACAACTAGGATAAACCAAAAACTATCTTTGAGAACTAGGGGTTAAGGGTGAAAAGTTGGGATGGGAGTTGGATAACATCCTGGGAGATGGGAGAGCATGGCTTCTTGCAAAGGAAAAAGTTCTGACCGAGTTAATATGGGGTACATTGATCATCTCTGAGGGCCAGGGTGGTATGTGTGGGAGATTTGGGCACTCTCATGGGGTGGGGGAATCAGTGAAGGAGGTTCTTAATAGTTCTCCAGTCTCTGAAAAGTATGCATTTTTTTAATTCTTTGGCTTGGGTACTGACCCCTGTGTGAGATGAAAGAGAAATAGTTGGGATGAGAAAGTCTTCTGTCTTAAACCCAGAGAGCGGGGAATACAAAGGGTATGCCCCTGTGTGTTGACTCAACTTGAGCATGACTCATGGCTGTGTCTTTGGGAAGCCTGGACTCAGCTACATTGAGGAACAGGGGGCTAGGACAAGACAGTTACCTGATTCTAAGTGTCCAACACTTCCATCTTATCCACAACACTACCAACAGCAAGGCAACAAGTTGCATGGTTAGGGAAAATCTGATAGCTTCATTCAGAACATAATTCCAGGTGAGCAAGCCTGTGGCCAGAGAAGCACAGGAACAGGGGTCTTGATGGGGATAATGGTAGGTAAACACATTCATGGGGGAAGGGAGAGCTGGTTACTAAAGGTGACGGTAAGGTGAGACAAAAGTGGTCTTATTTTTCATGAAGAATGGGAACCTTGAAAGTATCCTGCTCACTGCCTTTGAGTGATTGTGAAACCACACCAGGGAAAGGGTGCCCAGACCCAATGGCCCTGACTCAAAAGCTCCTGACATCCCTTTTCATATCTATGTGGGAACTGATCTAGGATCTCAGGGTATCATGGCCAGAACTGTGAAGGGGATCTCTATGTGGAGTTGTCATCTTACTTGCTGGCTCCATCAGCTTCACAGGCTCATTGTGATGTGGCCAGATGTTAGGGTGTGCTTCTATGCAATACATGGAACTGTAGCTCCTTGTGCCTTTCCCTTCAACATTACTAATGATGAAGTCTCCATTCACTGAGAATATTTTGAATATTGATCTTTCTTCCTATTCCAGAGAAAATTTTTTTTCTTTATTATTTTATTTTTTTAATTATTATTTTGTTTTTGTTACAGATATTTTACCTTTTTTACCCCATTGGCACCCCCCTCCCCAACCTACCCCCGCCCCGTCCCTGGCTTAGTTGTCCATGTCCATTGGTCATGCATACATGCATGTAAGTTCTGTGGTTTATCTCTTCCCATGCCCCCCTCTTCTGAGGGATGTCAGTCTGTGCCCTACTTCCATGTTTCTGGGTCTACTGTATTCCTCAGACTGTTATGTTCATTACATTCCATATATAAGTGAGATCATGTGGTATTTGTCTTTTTCTGCTTGGCTTATTTCACTTAGGATAATATTTTCCAGGTCCCTCCATGTCGTCTCAAAGGATAAGAGATCTTTCTTTCTTACCGCTGCATAGTACTCCATTGTGTATATGTACCACAGCTTTTTGATCCATTCGTCTACTGGTGGACACTTCGGCGGTTTCCACATCTTAGCTATTGTAAATAGTGCTGCTATGAACATGGGGGTACATATATTCTTCCTGATTGGTGTTTCAGGCTTCTTAGGGTATATTCCCAGCAGTGGGATCACTGGGTCAAATGGAAGTTCAATTTTTAATTTTTTGAGGTAACACAATATTGTTTTCCACAGCGGCTGCACCAGTCTGCATTCCCACCAGCAGTGTATTAGAGTCCCCTTTTCTCCACACATTCGCCAACACTTGTTGTTTGATGATTTGTTGATGGCGGCCATTCTGACAGGTGTGAGGTGATACCTCATTGTTGTTTTAATTTGCATCTCTCTGATGATTAGTGATGTTGAGCATTTCTTCCTGTGTCTCTTGGCCATTTGTATGTCCTGTTTGGAGAGGTGTCTATTCAGCTCCTCTGCCCATTTTTTAATTGGGTTCTTTGTCTTCCTTTTGTTGAGTTGTAGGAGCACTCTATATATATTGGAAATTAACCCCTTATCTGATACATCATTGGCAATGATGTTCTCCCATACAGTGGGTTGCCTTTCCATTTTGATGATTGTTTCTTTTGCTGTGCAGAAGCTTTTTAGTTTGATGTAGTCTCATGTGGTCATTTTTTCCTTTGTTTCTGTTGCCTTAGGTGATGTATCAGTGAAAATTCTGCTCCATGTGATGTCCGAAATTTTGTTGCCTACATTTTTTTCTAGAATTTTTATGGATTTGCAGGTCACATTTAAGTTTTTTATCCATTTTGAGTTTATTTTTGTGTATGGTGTAAGTTGATGGTCTAGTTTCATTTTTTTGCATGGAGCTGTTCAATTTTCCTAACATCATTTATTAAGGAGGCTGTCCTTACTCCACTGCTCTTGTCACCTTTGTCAAATATTAATTGAGCATATTGCCTTGGGTCCATTTCTGAGTTTTCAGTTCTGTTCCACTGGTCTATATGCCTGTTCTTGTGCTAGTACCAGGCAGTTTTGATTACAGTCGCTTTGTAGTATAACCTGATATCTGATATTGTGATCCCACCTACTTTGTCCTTCTTTTTCAAAATTGCTGTGGCTATTCGGGGACTATTTTGTTTCCATATGAACTTTTGAAGTATTTGTTCTACTTCTGTGAAATATGTCGTTAGTATTTTGATGGGGATTGCATTGAATCTATAGATTGCTTTCTGTAGTATGGACATTTTAATGATGTTAATTCCTCCAATCCATGAACAAGGTATGTGCTTCCACTTTTTTATATCTTCCTCTATTTCTTTTTTCAATGTCCTGTGGTTTTATGCAAAAACGTCCTTTACTTCTTTGGTTAAGTTTATTCCTAGGTATCTTAATTTTTTTGGCACGATGGTAAATGGAATTGTTTTTTCAGTTTCTCTTTCTGTGAGGTCATCATTGGTGTACAAGAATGCTGTCAATTTCTTGACGTTAATTTTGTATCCTGCTACTTTGCCAAATTTGTTTACTAAGTCTAGTAGATTTTTAATGGAGTCTTTAGGGTTTTCTATGTATAATATCATGTCATCTGCAAATAATGACAATTTCACTTCCTCCTTTCCAATTTGGATCCCTTTTATTTTTTCCTCATGTCTGATTGCTGTGGCTAAGACTTCCAGTATTATGTTAAATAGGAGTGGTGAAAGTGGACATCCTTGTCTTGTTCCTGTTCTTAAGGGAAATGTTTTTAGTTTCTCCCCAATTAAGTATGATGTTGGCTGTAGGTCTTTCATATATGGCCTTTATTATGTTGAGATATGATCCCTCTATTCCCACTTTGCTGAGCCTTTTTATCAGAAATGGATTCTGGATTTTGTCAAATGCTTTTTTAGCATCTCTTGATATGATCATGTGACCCAGTGATCCCGCTTATAGGAATATATCCTAAGAGGCCTGAAACACCAATCAGGAAGAATATATGTACCCCCATGTTTATAGCAGCACTATTTACAATAGCTAAGATCTGGAAACAGCCCAAGTGTCCATCAGTAGACGAATGGATAAAAAAATTGTGGTACATATACACAATTGAGTACTATGCAGCTGTAAGAACGAAAGATCTCTTATCCTTTGAGACGATATGGAGGGACCTGGAAAGTATGATCCTAAGTGAAATAAGCCAAGCAGAAAAAGACAAATACCACATGATCTCACTTATATACAGAATATAATGAACATAACAGTCTGAGGAATACAGTAGACCCAGAAACATGGAAGTAGGGTACAGACTGACATCCTTCAGAACAATGGGGAGGTGGGAGGAGCTAAACCACAGAACTTATATGCATGTATGCATGACCAATGGACATGGACAACAAAGCCGGGGACGGGGCGGGGGTGAGGTGGGGAGGGGGGTGCCAATGCGGTAAAAAAGGAGAAACATCTGTAACAAAAAAATAAAAAATAAATAAAAAAAAAGAGGTATATCTTAGTGGAGACCTGTGAATTCTCTCTCTATGTAAGTTCAGATCTATGTTTAGCGCTGAAAAAAATATTTTAATAATTTCCTTAAATATTATTTCAAGATTACTCTTATTTCTTGCACTGTCAGGGATACCAGATACACAAACATTTTAGCTCCTTGATGTGTTTTCAAGGTCCATCGCCTTTTCTTGTTCTGTGAAGAGTTTTTTACTTCACATTTTTATCTTTTGAGACTGAAACTCAATTTGGTCCTCATTTGTACTGATTCTCTCTTCCATGATATTTATTTAGTAATTGTACTTTGTCAGGTTTTCTTTAAATCCTGTGATCTCATTCATCGGTGCCCCATAGTCTTTGATGAGCTTTTTTCTATGTGCTTTCAAAGTGTTCACAAAGTCTTGTATCACTTTCAGGGTGGAAAATATCAGCTCCCTCATGTTGGCCCTTTGAGTTCTGCCTGCTACTCCCTCAAGCCAGCTAAATCTCTTGAAATCTCTGAGATCCCTAGTTTCTCTGCAGCATCACAGTACTTATTGCTTGCTCCTAAGTTTGTTTTCATCATTTTCTCATTCTTTTTTAAAATTAGGTAGTTTTTGTTTTCCTTTTCCCTCCTCTTGTAGCTGAGGCTTCTGTTTGCTTCAAATTGTTTCCAAAGCTCAGTGATTTGATTCTGCACACAGCTGCTCTCTATTCTCTTTCCTAGAAGCTCAAGAGATGGGGTCTTTTAATCAAAATTTAACACCTATTTTGAGCTGAAATCCTCAGAAACACTATAAGAAATTAAGGTATAATTAACGGATATGCTCTCTAATAGCATTGGCCATAAGAACTTCATAGCCCTGCATGTAAGATAAAGAAATATATAAATGCATAAATAAAAAATAAACACACATATAAATACATAGTACAATAAATACCTGAATACACAAACATATACTCTAACACAAAAGTAATGCAACTAAAGGCACAAACACATAAACATGGAAATAAGTATGTACATACAATGAGCCTCATGTGTTCAGACTATTCAGCCTCTTCCTGGCTGAGGGTACACAGAATACATTTCTGATTAAACAACTTGGTGCATTAGCATTATAAAGTAGAAAGTGAGAAGAGTTCACCTAAATGTTTCAGAGTTTGTGCAAAGAGATTTTGACTTTGTGTCAAGGGGCTTGAATTTCAGTCCTGGCAGAGCCAGTTACTGTGTAATCATGTTACATTTGGCAAGCTACTGAAAGTTATTTGAGTCTTCATCTCTTCGTCAGTCAAATAAGTATTCAATAACTGTGAGTTAAATCTGAATATAGAACTCTCTGTTAGCTTTAGCTAATCATATTTTTAAGAATATCTTTTTTATGGTGATATCTGGGATTTAGATTGGTGATGATGGTGGAGGTGAAGACAAGACAGTGATAGGTAGGGGGAAATTTGACTAGAACTCAAATGGATACTCTCTTGAGTCCCATAACATCATCTTTCTTTTTGAACAACTTAAAAAGTATGTATTCTGCTTGATTATATCCAAAGTATTTTAGAAAGTGGTAAGGGAGATGAGAAAATAAACTCTGACTTCAAGATTATGATCTAGTGGGAGATTTATCCATATTACAGGTAAATATAATATGCAAAGCATAGTAAGATTTGAAAGCAAGAGTATCAGAGCATTATGGAAACATAAAAGAGTAAAAAGTAAATTATGATTGATAGTGCTTAGGAGGTTCTTCATTCAAGTTCCCCATATTCAAGTGTCCCTATAATTAGGCATGGTGAAGACACCTATGAGGCTTCCAACTCCAAAACATCTGCCTTACCTACCTGATGCCTTCCTGACATTCCACCATCTAATCCACTTTTTTAAAAAATACAAGGTAAAGAAATGCAAAGTATGGCAGCACAAGTTGTGTAGAGAGGGGTTGGAATTAAGGCTAGAGGCATGGGCAGGAGCCAGATTATTAATGCCCATGTCTTCATCATAGCATTTTTTAGTAAAATCTCTTATTTGTGCAAAACTGAAAGCCGGGTCATGATCTAAATCCAAGCAGAAAATGACCTTCTCTAGCTCCTAATGTTCCCTGATATTATACTCTCTTGGGCACAGATCCTTAGGGACAGGGCTC